AAATTCTGGTATTAAGTATAACTTGGTATTCTATACTTTTAGATATTATATAACTACTAATAGTTTTTTATTATAGATCTTATAGTTATACTCGGCCGGGGTATTCTATTAAAAAAATAGATATAAAAATACAGCTTTCTATTCTTATTTATTTATAAAAGTATTTTTTTAATATTATAACTAGAAGAATTAGTCTCTACTACTGTTATATACTTAAAATTAAACAAATAAAGAATTAGCTTTGTAATAATTTTTTTTTTAGTATTTAAAAGCTTGTTTTGTATTCTTAGATTTATTAAAAAAGCTGGTTTTTTTTATTAGATTCGTAAGCAGTTGTATAATAATTAAGAATCCCGGAATAAATCTATAATAAAAATTTATAAATTTTAGAAAACTTCGGATTATTTTTATTAACTTAGAGTTTTTTTAAGAGGTGATTGCTTCAACTTTTTGAAGATTTATTTTAATATCTTGTTTAGTATATATAATAAATCCGAAATATAGAATTTTCTTTTATTTAAATTTATATTTTTTAATATTTAAGAACAGACCAGCTTTTTTAAGTTTTTATAATATTTTCTATATATATTTGCGGTGTTTTTTAATATTTTTATTAGTATAAATTAGCACATCGTTAATATAGACTAAATAAAATTTATTAAGATATTTGTATAAGACCTAGTTAATATACTTCTAAAAAGTACTTAGAGTATTTATTAGACCGAAAAATATTACTAGTTATTTATATAATCTATATTATATATAAAAAACTATTATCTATTCTTAATCTTCTATAATATGAATTTTATAAAAAATAGATAAAATATCTAGTTTTATAAATTATTTTGCTTTTTTAATTTAATTTAAAGTCCTATAGATTAAAGAAAGCAGGTAGTAGTTTTTCTTTATAATAATATTAAGTACTTAATAGTTTATATAAAATCTTAATTCTTCTCTGGGCTTCTGTACAAAGAATACTAAAGTTACTGTTAAAAAGTAGCTAACTTATATAAAGTTTTTTTCTAATAGTTTAGTTAGCTTGAAGTATAGAACTGTCAGTTTTTTCTTAAATATATTATATAAAAGACTCTAGGAGACTTCTGGTTTTTTTCTATTTTAATATATAAGCTCGATTTTATAGTTAATATTTTTTTTTCGGTATAATAGTAGTTTCTCTGCGTTCTCCGGTTAAAAAAGAAATAGAAAATCCTAATACTACCTAGAAAGTATTATATAGAGATTAACTATTTTTTTAATTTAAAGTACTTTCTAAATATCTATAAGTAAAACAGTAAATATTTTTATATTCTTATTTTGTTCTTTCTATAAGTAGTTTTCGAGTTTTATTTTTATAATTAGCTGAAGTTTTAACTTAGTATATTATAAATATATCAGGTCTCTTATTCTTATTTTAGTTATATATAAATAGAATTATTCTTATTCTATATCTAGGACTTTTTTATAGCAGGACAGCCAACTTTTTTCTAAGATTAGATTATAGCCGAGGTTGTTTAGTATTATATAGAAGTATACTTCTTCTTCTATATAAAAGCTTATATTTATTCTTATTTATATAATAAATCGGATTAGTATTTTATCGCCGGAAATCCCTTTCACCGGTTTTAGATTAATATCGATAGTTGTTAGATTGTTTGTTTTAGTAAATATTTTGCTTATAATATTATATATTAAATATTCTAAGTTGATAAGAGTTCGGGCTGTTATAATAAAATCTAAGATAACTTCTACTAAAAAAAAGTACTTGCTTATATATTTTTTTTAAAACTTTTTTATTTTCTTGTAGTTTTGTCCAGAGATTTTTATTTAAATATATAACTTTATACTAGATTTCTTTTTTTTCCGAATCGGAGTCCTCATCCGATGGATTATACTATTTTCTTTACTATTAAAAAATAAATATAGCCGCAGCTATTTTTATTAGTCGTACAGTAGACTTTAAAAAATATTAGCAGATAAGATATTTATTCTATTTATAACAAAAACAGCAGTCCGTTTTATATTTTTTTTATATTTTATCGGGCGTTCTCTATCGGGCTTATTTCTAGGATTCATCGATAGTCGTATAGAAATAATATTTATTTTATTATATAACAGCTATTTAAATAGGTTTCTACTCTAACGGTTTAGGACTCGGTTTGCGTCGCGCTAGTATAGATTTGGTATAATTTCTCTTAAAAAAATACTCTATTAAAATTATAGTTTATATACTATAGTTAGTTATAGTAGTCTTTATATATAGTCTTTTATAGAATTCCGACCAAGCTCTTAATAAATCTCTAGTTTATTATAGTATCTAGAATTGCTTTTTTCTACTTGTCCGACTAATTATATTCTTCAGCCTATAGCAAGGCTTTATTAAAGTTATTAAGAAATTCTTTTAATTTTATTCTTTCTTACTTTATTATATTTACTCGGTTTAATGCCTTTTATTATATATCTGGGTCTTCGAATACTTTATTTATTACAATAAGTATATCGTCGAGTTATATAGTCTCGGTATTCTGGGATTCAATCTAAGAAAGTATCTATTATACTATTCTTTTATATAGTCGACTATAAATATAGAAAACTTGTTTTAGACCGGTAAAATAGCAGTTCCCATCGATTACAAGTTTCGTTCGTATATTTAACTTAAAGAGCTTGTAGTTGTACTTATCTTTTCTATTAAATAATTTTATATCGGAATATTAAAGGCGGGGTCTGTAGTTCGGCTTATATAGTTATTATAAAAAATTTCCCCTAGTTTCGCTATTACTAATAAAAATTATATTGTAATTCTGTAGTTTATTTATCTATTCTTCGAAGACTGATTTTTACTTTATTATCTTTATACAAAGGCTGATTAACTCTTATAAAAAAAGCTGTATATTATTATAAATAGTTGTAGATGCTGCGGTCGGCTGCAGTTCTTTCTAATCTATTTATTCTATTATTCTTTTAATTCTATTCTATTCTATTTGTACATCTAATCGGGCTCTGTTTTAGGACTTTTTATAAGCTATTTCTAATATTACGAGACGGATAGATTATTCTAATCGAAATATACCTTTAAATAAGAAGAAATAGCTGGAGAGCTATTTTATCCGTTTATACAAAATTCTTTTATATATACTAGGCTAGTGTTAGTTAGTGTATAATATTGCGAGACCTTAGGTACCAACTGGTGCCTGAGGCCGAGCTCTATACTAGGGCCCTGATCCTATAACATATTCTATCTAAATTTAAAAGCTATTACTCTATATATAAAGTTACTATTCTATGTTGACTTTTAAAAACATTCTTCGGTTTATATCAGGGTGCTTAACTAATCGGATAGCAGCTTACAACCTACACGTTGAAACATCCTACATATGGTATTCCAGGGCCTGTAGAATAGGGCTTGTTTTATTCTATCTAAATTTAAAAGCTATTACTCTATATATAAGATTATTACCCTATGTCAACTTTTAAAAATATTCTTCGGTTTGTGTCAGGGCGCTCAACCAATCGGGTAGCAGCTTGCGACCCACACGTTGAAACACCCTACGTATGGTATTCCAGGGCCTGTGGAATAGAATCATGTATTAAATTCGCCATCCTGTTTATTTTCTTATTTATCTAATTTTTAATTCTTCTGATTTTATGATTTTTTACTTTAACTTTACTTTCACCTTACTTTCACACACAATTTATATGGAAAAGTGAAAGTTAATTGAACCTTATCTGAAAGAACCGAAACTCCAACAGATAATAAATATTTATTATATTTAATAAACTCTTATTTATTTAATCTAAAAAATATTAATTTAATTTTTATTAATTAGAATTAGGCCTATCTTACTCTATCTAAATATATAAAAAAATTGTTTGATATCCTATTTTTAGTATCTGAGAATATATGCTGATTTACTATATAGACTATAGAATTATATTAAATTATAGTAATATAGTTTTTAATAATCTAGAACTGTCTGGTAGTTCTAAAACTCAGAATTAAAAACTAATGTAGTCCGGTCTAGTACGGTCCGGTTCTTGGTCTTGGCCGTCTTTTCTGAGGCCTAGTTGGAAGGGCTGATTTGGGCCCTTACAATGTGACGGCGCCCTTGTGCTCGATCTTCATCGGGAACGGCTGAGCGGTCAACTCTCGTGCTGACAACCAACAACATTGGGGGATTATGTATATACTGATTAAGGTACTCGGTAATTAAGGTACCTTCACACACTACACCGCACACCGCAGTGACTGAGTGACTAAGATAGACACCGCTGTGGCTTGGAACTATTGATGACTAGGGCAGCCGCCATTCCAATTGCGGAGTTAGTTCTTCGTGTTGGAAAAATACCAAACATACCCAGACTACAAACATACCCAGCAATACAGTACGTCGCGCGGAGCAATCGGGATTGGACAAACAAAGCCTCCCCACCACAAGAACAAATTTTCTCTAGCAAACAACAACGGACTTTCTGTTCTTTCAGTTGTAGGTGAATTACATTGTTCTTGTCGGGAATTCTGGATCATGCTCCCCAAAGCCGTTGAGGTGGTTAAGGTCTAGGGCAGTGGCCCGAGTCTCGGATCTTTCTTTGCATTCTAGCCTTCTAGCCAACAGCGTCGGCCGGAAAGACAGTCATGCACCTGCCAGCCGGCCGAGCATATGTGGTAAACACAGTGCCACTGCACTGCACTGCACTGCACTGGAACCAATCGGCTGGGCCCAGCTGAATACGGTGGGTGGATCGGTGTGCCAGTGGAAGTTGACGGGCAGTGAACTCAGCCAGCCACAATTGCCAGCACAGCACCACACAGCAGTTCGTGCTGTCTTGTTTAAGGTTAGCACAACCCCACTGCTGTCAGCCATGCCTCGCTTATTCCGCCCGCGAGATCTAGACTGGGCAGAGTCCGCCGCCCACTCGGATGCATGATTTTTATTTATGATATCGAAGGAGCCAGCAGGCTGCCACTGACTCGCTTCTCTTCCTCCCACTCTCCGACTTTCATCCTTTTTTCCGGTCCGTCCCCTTTGCTCTTGGTTCCGAGTTTCAATTGCACGATCGCCATTTGTAGTTGTAGTGCGATACAAAGACGACCTACAACCACGACCAGTATGGAGGCGACTCCTGCCAAGATGACCGGGGACACTCCCCTCGAGGTCGATCTTCCTCCGGTACCTACGACGCAGGTTCTGACCGATCTCCATTGGGAGACCATGCTGGCCCTCGCCGACACGGTAATCCCGTCGATCCGGGGTCGTGGCGATGATGCGGAGGTCTCGTCAACCAAGTACCACGCTGTCACCGAGACTCAGCTAGAATCGGCGACTTCCAGACTCACAGCCACGATCAGTCGAACAACCTCCCCAGCAGCCGAGGTAGCCCGGATCTATCTGCAGGAGAGTCCATCGTCTCTTCCGGCCTTCCGCGAGGGCCTCCAGCGCCTGATTGCGGACTACGTCCATCAGGAAGGCCAGACGGGGCTGCGATTCATCCTCGACGTTCTGAAGTAGGTGGATGGAGAATCGATACATGCACATGGGCTAACAATCGGTCGGGCCTGGCCAGCACCCGAGCCGGATCGCTGCTTCTGACCGGGTCAACGACCCCCATCCAGAACCAACCCCTGGCAGTGCGCGAGCAGGTTTTCGCCGGATGGGCCTCGTCGCGATTAAGCCCCATCCGCCTCATCTACCGGTCGCTCTCCGCCATGTTCAAGACCACCTGGATGGTGGCCAGCCCGACCCTGTCTACCGCCGTGGGCTTCCCCCGAGTCCCCGTGCATGGCAAGTCCGCGCCGGGTTGCTGGGAGTACGAATTTGTCCAGTTTCCTCCGAGCGACTATGACGAGGAGAACGAGACGGAGCAACCGGAAGTGCTCGAGACGGACGTGGTCGTCATCGGCAGTGGCTGCGGCGGTGCGGTGGCGGCGAAGAACCTGGCCGAAGCCGGGCACCGCGTGCTGGTGGTCGAGAAGGCGTACCACTACCCCTCGCAGTACTTCCCCATGGACGGCCGGACCGCCCCCGTCAGCCTGTTCGAGGGCGGGGCGTCGATTCTCACGGATGATGCCTCGGTGGCCATCTTTGCTGGATCGACCTGGGGTGGCGGGGGCACGGTCAACTGGTCGGCGGCGCTGCAAACGCAGGCCTTCGTCCGCCAGGAGTGGGCCGATGACGGTGGCTTGCCCTTGTTCACCTCCGCCGCCTTTCAACAGTCGCTGGATCGCGTCGCTGCTCGCATGGGCGTCAGCGCGGCCCACATTCGGCACAATCGCCAGAACCGCGATCTCCTCGAGGGAGCACGCAAACTGGGCTATGCGGCCGAGGTGGTGCCGCAGAACACGGGCGGCGAGGAGCACTACTGTGGCTATTGTACCATGGGATGCTCCGCTGCAGCCAAGAAGGGTCCCACGGAGACCTGGCTGGCGGACGCAGCCAAGGCTGGGGCGGTCTTTGTCGAAGGTTTCAAGGCAGATAAAGTCACCTTCACCACCCGGGGCAAAGAAAGAATCGCCACCGGAGTGGAAGGGACTTGGACCTCCCGCGAGGCGTATCTGTCCCGGGGCCAGAAGGGGCAGGGGATCACCCGAAAGGTGGTCATCAGGGCTAAGAAAGTGATCGTCTCTTGCGGTACACTGAACAGCCCTCTGCTGCTTCTCCGCAGTGGGCTACAGAATTGGCATATCGGCCGGAATCTTCACATTCATCCAGGTAAGCAAGCCAAGCCAACTGCATCCGTCCCGTCAGGCCACCAGGACCTAACAACTCATCTTCTTCATCGGCAGTTCTCTTCGGTGCGGCCGTGTTTGACGAGGAAATCCGACCCTGGGAGGGCTCGGCCCTGACGGCAGTCGTCAAGGAATTTGAGAATCTCGATGGCCGGGGCCACGGGGCAAAGATCGAAACCACGGTCACCATGCCGCCGCTGTTCCTGCCCATTTTTCCGTGGCGGAGTGGCCTCGACTACAAACTGTTCTGTGCCAAATTGAGCGCCATGACCAGTTACATTGCCGTCACCCGGGACCGGGATTCCGGCCGCGTCTATCCCGACCCCGTCGACGGTCGCATCCGCGTGGCCTACACCCCCTCCGCATTTGACCGGAAGAGTGCCGTGGAGGCAATGATCGCCAGTGCGAAGATCGCTTATGTCTCGGGCGCCAAAGAATTCCACGTCTCGTACGCGGATATGCCCCCATTTTGCCGATCGGAACAGGAGAAGAACGACCCCGACGCGGAGGGAATCAACAATCCGGAGCTGCAGCAATGGATCACGCGATTCCGCCAGCAATCTCCCCTGGACATTGAGAAGGCCGGGTATGCCAGTGCCCACCAGATGGGAACCTGTCGCATGGCGAGTACGGCGAGTAAGGGGGTGGTGAATCCGGAATGCCAGGTCTGGGGTACGCAGGGGCTCTACGTCATGGATGCATCGATCTTCCCCAGTGCAAGCGGCGTGAATCCCATGATCACCAACATGGCCATCGCGGACTGGGCCAGTCGAAAACTGTCGAAAAGATTGAGGGACGGTTGCTAGCCTGCCGTGGTAATCATCTAAGCCCTACGTCGATTCAACACAGCCTACACCACCTGCCCACATGGTACGATCATGGTCTTGCATCTGATATGCCTCGCGAGCGTCTGCTTTTCCACCAACTTTGGAGTTTTGAGACAGTGTCCTTTCATCTATCTATTCAAATAAATGGTTAACGCTAGGTTTACCGCCCTCCGAGCGATCGTAGTGCGTTTTCTTTTTTTTTTCTTTTCTTTTTTTCGGGGGGGGGGTGAACTAATCGCATACAGGAGGTGGAATCAAGAGGACTATGCCCGGTGATGATACATCAGCCTCACCAGATAGATGCCGCCCGTATGTCATGGATCTGCCGCATGGCTACGAAAGCCCACAAAACCGACGGAGATGATATCGATTGTGTTCACAAGAGCGTCTCCTTACCCCAGAATCAGGTCCCGGTCGCAGCTGTCAGATTCTGGACTCCGAGCAGTTCGCAGAGTTCCTGTGTGCGGTAAGTATCGTTACAGCATGCGGGGAGACTCAGGATCGGGCCGGGACAAATGGTCATGTTCTGGATATACCAGAGATGGGCGGCCGGCTCTGGTCCGTCCCGAAGGCGATACTGCAGGTTGCCTTCTGTATTATTGATGCCCTCCAATTCTTGAATGGAACTTGCATTTGGCGTCACATAGGAGGGAGTGGTGATCCAATACTCGGGAGACAGCTGACTATAGTCGGGGATGAACCACATCCAGGCCGCGTCGTATAGGATCCGGGGAACGATATCATCGGAATGGGTGAGTCGGTAGGTCACTCCGCTGGTTTGATTGCTGATGAACTCGGACAGCTCGAAGTTGCCCACCGAGGGTGATGCATAGCTATACTGTTGTTTCGCTCTCAGCTCTCCGCAGCAGCTCTGATTAATCACCGGCCAGGCTCACTTACCACGGTGACATTAGGGCCGTGCGTACGAAACTCGGCGGCTCCGACGGTGGCCAGCGCGGCCCCCAGACTGTGCCCTACGAAGACAACCTCGTACTCGCTGTACTGGGCCATCGCCCTCTCCACCGGTGGCAGCGTCACGTTTTTGGTGTTGATCCACGTCCTCCAAAACCCTTGGTGGATCTGACACCCCGAGCACGAGGCTGCCCCAAATGTCGTCACGTTGACGAAGTCATAGTCGAGGTCGACATCGACCTTCGGGCACGTGTTGGTGCCCCCGAATTGAAGAACGATGAGCTCGTTGGTGTGGTCTAGCGTCACAAAGCCGGACACTCCCTGGTTGTAGAGACTGTCGGTCGGGAGTTAGGATCTGGGTTCTCTCGACCAGGTCTTAGAACGACACCTTCTCACCTGGTGGAGTTGAATTCTGCGACCGTGGTGGTATTGGCGTTGGTCACATTGGGGCAATTGCCCGCACCGCAGTCGACGCCGTCGTGGCAGCCGGCCGCGTATTCGGCGAAGAAGCTAAATCGATCGAACAATTCCTGCGAAATGCCTGGCGAGGAGGTCAGCCACTGGAGGTGCCCGCGACAGGCAATGCGGGCTGCGGGCTGCCTGACCGTCCTGAGTGGGCTCCTGCGCATTGTCGGCGACTGCTGTTCCCAGACAAGCCAGCAGAACACAAAGAGCAAAGGAGACAGCCATCTTGATGATGTGGTCTCCGTAGTTGAGGGAGTATATGCGGATCAATTTATCAATTTATCGATTTCCAGTTCGACGCCGGGGTTGGGACAGCAACCAAGCCTCGCTCTCCTTATATAGTTCCCTGGCACCCACCGCTTGAGAAAGACTTGGGGCAAGACGTGGCCGACTCCCGTGCGTCATTGACTTGTCTCCTGCGAAAATGGAAATACTCTATTTGATGCAGAGACTTACATCATGTTGACAGGGTGACAGGGCTCACAAATATGGTTATGCGGGCTGTGGGTACCAGACTTCACTTGATTCTGCTCCGCAGCGACAGTTTCGAACATCCAAAGTATGCCCACATTGACACCTGACATGGAATTGCCTCGATCAGGATGAACAGTGTAGCGACCAGGGTTTTCTCTTCCCCTTCCATGCACCCCCTTACAGCGCCAGCGCCACACCAAGGATGCCTCCCACACTGGCAATGCCTATGGCCCAGCTTCCAGTAGCAACAGCTGCGCCCCCGGTCGAGATGGAGATCTTCGATCGAGTGGGACTGACCGTCGAAGTTGCGGATGGGGCAGAAGGCGGGCCTGCGGTGAAGTTCGGATACCATCCAGTGGCCAGGGCGCTTTCGGAAGACAGCAGGGAGGCGTACATCGCTTCCTCGCTAGAAAGGATAGCCCTGGCAGCAGTTGGCAGGTTGATATACCAGGCCGGCATACTCCCTGAACTCTCCGCGAGGATTTCCGATAAGAAGAATGCTGGGTCGGTCCTCATTCTCTCCCACCAACTCATAGGCACAGCAGTCTCTAGAACCGACAGGCATCCGGTTAGTTGGAAAGAGTAGACAATACTCATTACCGACTTCAAAGGAGGCGTGCTCGATATTTCGCCTGGAACCGATTTAGTGACCCCAACCACAATGTCGGTCCCCGTTACGGCTTCGGTGGCGGTCACTGTTCTAACCGCGGGGGTAGCCAGGTGGGTTGTATCAGCGAGCGCAGTCAGCATGTTTGTGGCGCCGAGGAGGGCGAGGAGGTGGAAGTACATGATTGACCTTCCGAGAAAACGTACACCACGGGCTACTTTCAGGAGGGGGCGCCCCAGGTATTTATGATGTGCGAAGTGTCTTAAAAGAGGGAAATTGTCCTGAAGTAGTAATATACACTGACAGCTAGTGGATAGCTAAACAACATGGGAGGATGGCTAAGCAAAGGGTCCGTGAGCGGGCTAGTGGGTGTACAGCCCCCGTCCAGCTGTCATCTCATATCATCCCACCGCCTTCAAGCTGCTATTTGAAGATTGGTTTGCATGGGGCCGCAGGGTTAGCATACATAATTGGCATATTCAGAGGAGAACTCGTTCATACGGAGCAAGAGTCGTGACTATCTGGCCACATGCTCACTGCATCCCCATCTAAACTGGTAAGTTACCAGAACATATCTCACTATTAGAACCAAGTTTGCCAAGCCAGTGGCCAGCGACTCACCGATGGCGGAATTAATCGTTTGGTCGCAAACCATCCACTTGGGACGACCACCGCCAAGCAGCTCTTACTCAAGGAGGGCCAAAGCTCGCAGCAAGAAGAGCATCAGTTCGGAGGCCGGTCGATCGGTAGAAACCACAGCGGGAAAGCAGATCAGAATCAGATATAGCATTCGTAATCCCGCGGATTGGCCCAGGGCGTCGTATGCGGCCGCCTCAATCGGATGCCCACGGTGCTGTTACACGCAGATCCGCAGCCTGCGCGAGGAGGTCTTGGGACTGGACTGCAACTGCGAGATAAACAACCTTGAAGGTAACAAGGTAAACAAAGGTGGACGATGCAGTGTAAAGCGAGACGGGCACGTGACTGTACCAGCGGCGGGTAAGTCTTTACCCGACACACACACCCTCCATCCGCGGAGTGATGTCCAAGTCAGTATATCCAACCTGACGGAGTCTCGGGCTTCCTGTCAAATACTGAGAAGAGACAATGCACTACGGTGTATGCGAGGGCTAAACACGTGAGGGCGACTCCACCATAGTAAAGAAACTAGTAAACACTATCACATTGTCTGTGCAATCATGACGCACAATTCACTTCAGACCCCCCTTGGTCTTCATCGCACTCTTCAACTTTCCAAGGTGGAAAACAGGCCATAGGAGAAGGTCCTGCTGCCGTCAGATTCTTTCCCCGCCAGATGGAAGCATCGGCAATCGTGGAGAGACCTACCCAGACCGTGCGAAAGGCAAAACAGTCCATCAGCCAAACGAAGGTCGAGGTGTTCCCAACCCAGTACCACGCGGGCGGGCACGGTCGCAGTGACTGCTGCACCACCGACCGGGCATACACCATACGATCCGTGGTATCTGGTCGATTGGCCATCTGGTCAGTATGGTAGAAACGACCCGGTGCAGTACATACTACATACTCGGTACACGTTGTACGTGGGCTCGGAACTCTTCCTGGAGCGGCGCATAGAATGAGGCTATGAATGACGCGACCAGGATGTTAGTATCGAAGATAAAAGAAGAAGAGGAGGGGAGATGGATTGGGTGAGTACGGACTCGGCGGAAGACTTCGGGAGGCATCGCGTGTCAGGATATTGGTGCCGATATTGCCCGATATAATCTAGATTTCATCATTAGCATATCGCGACCTATAGTCCTAGGTCGAGGTGGCGCGGATCGGGGATGTTACGTTGATGACTCGAACGCTGTGCGACTGATTTAGCTTGGAAGATGGTGGTAAAGATGGAGGGACGCAACAACGGACTCCAATGGACTCATCTCAACGCGAAGGGTATTGCCCCAGTGATGTAGGGCCGCCTTGCTCGCATTGTATGAAGCTGCAGGTTCAAGGTCAGCGACACTCTCCTCATGATAGATCTTCCCAGAGGACTCACAGCCATACATGTACGGCACAATCCCGCCGACCGATCCAATGTTCACCACACATCCTTGGGCTCGAATAAGCCAAGGATGAAAGGTATGGACCATGCGAATAGGTCCAAAGACATTGACGTCGAACATTTGTTGCACCTGGCTCACATCGGTGTCGATGGCAGTCATGGTATAGCCTGCATGCATGAGTACAGCCTTGACCAAGCGTAGATTTCCTCACGCTCACATATACCGCTGTCTGATGTTAGGGCTCAGTGCCACGAAATCAGCCAACCAACCGGGATATTACTGCTTACGCATTGTTGACTAGAATGTCCAGTCGGTCGCCGACCTTGGTCTCCACCGCTTTGCACAAGGCATGCACCGACTCATCCTTGGTCACGTCTAACTGAAAGCACTGAATGCCAACTGAGGTAAGATGCTCGTGAGATTCCGACGGTAGAACCGTGGCAAGCACTGTGCAACCGTGGGCCTGGTACTGGAGTGCCAATGCTTCGCCAATACCTCCCTTCCCGCAACTGGCGATGCCTGGGGTTAGCACACGGGGGCTCTTTATTTTTCGAGAGGGGAAACCAAAAACAAAAAAAGAAAGAAAGGGATAGAAATTAAAGCGATTTACCCTGTGATTAGAACGGTCACCATAATGGCTGATTCGAGTGTGGTGGATAACAGAAGGGGAGGCGAGTTACGGTAAGATAAAGCATCGATCTGACCAGTCTGACCGGGATTCCATCCTGCGTCTGACAGATAGCGAAATCAGCCATGGCCATCCTTTCTGCACGGAGAGTCAGATCGGTCGTCAGACATCGTGTATATCTACGACATCCCGATCAACGTTAGTTGGGAGGAGGATTGGAAACGAACCCAACACCACCAATTCGACAATCCCCACTCAGGATAGTTAGGGTCTGCCGCAGCGTAGATTCGCTCATCACCATCGCCCGCCGCAATGTCTTTCGAACACAACCCCAATGACCCCGTGGTAATTGTCGGCATGGGTGAGTCTCCAAATTACGGGGCTGAATGAACCCACAGCCTACGGCTAACACTTTTGATTCCAGCTTGTCGACTGCCCGGGGGGGTGTCCTCGCCTACCGACTTTTGGGAGATGCTGATCAACGAACGCTCGGGTCAATGCAATGTACCAAAGACCCGATTCAATGCAGACGGGTTCTTCCATCCCGAGGGTGATCGTGCTGGGGTGATGAACACCCGCGGAGGTTATTTTCTGCAGGAGGATGTGCGCCAGTTTGAGAACTCCTTCTTTGGGATCAACAACCTGGAGGCAACATACATGGATCCACAGCAACGAAAGTTGCTAGAGGTGGTCTACGAATGCTTCGAAAGCGCCGGAGTATCGCTGCAACAGGCGGCCGGGGCCGACATTGGAGTCTATGTCGGCAACTTCACGGTGGACTTCCAAACCATGCAAGCCCGAGATCCCGAGGCCTTGCACCGGTACAGTGCCACGGGCTCAGGGACGGCAATCTTGTCGAATCGACTAAGTTATATCTTCGATCTTCGTGGTCCTAGGTATGTGCATCCTCTTCACGCCATACCAACCAGCACAGACGATCTTACGGATATGACAGTTTCACACTCGATACGGCATGCTCATCGTCCATCTATTGTCTCCACAGTGCAGTCACTGCGATCAAGGCGGGCGAATGCGAAGGCGCGGTGGTGGCTGGGGCTAACTTGATTATGGGCCCGGAGCAGCATCTCGGTACCATGAAGGGAGGGGTCTTGTCCCCAACCTCCACCTGCCATACCTTTGATGCCAGCGCTGACGGCTACGGACGTGCCGAGGGTGTCAGTGCCCTGTATATCAAACGCTTGTCGGCTGCCCTGAGAGATGGTGATCCCATCCGTGCGGTCATCCGCGGCAGTGCGGTCAATGCGTATGTTTGTTCTGTCGACATATGGTTAGGATTATCTGCTAACGAGCACAGAAATGGCAAAACCTCGGGGATCACTCAGCCCAGTATTGCGGGACAGGCCGAAGTTATCCGCAAAGCCTACCGCGTGGCTGGGATTGATGCACAAGACACCGAGTACGTCGAGTGCCACGGCACGGGCACTGCAGTCGGCGACCCCATGGAGGTGGAGGGTCTGAGTCGAGTTTTCGTGCGCAAAGGAAGGTCACCTTTGCTCATTGGTGCTGTAAGTCACTTCTTTTCTGTCTCCTTCTGCTTAATCCTTTATGTATGGGCTGACTCAAGAGGGTCTCTAAGAATAAAACCAATGTCGGCCACAGCGAGGCAGCCAGTGGGATCACCGCCGTGATCAAGGCGGTCCTTGCTTTTAAGCACAAAGCTATTCCTGCCACCATTGGCGTGGTCAACTTGAATCCAAAGTGTAAGTTCCGCCTAGCACACTGCTTGACGACGAACAGAAGCCAGCGATTCTAACGAGCGTAGTGAAATTGGATGAGTGGAATATGAAGATTGTGACTAGGCTGACCGACTGGTCCTCGAATGTGCGCCGTGTCAGTATTAACTCTTTTGGCTATGGGGGTGCTAACGCCCACACGGTATGTTCCTCCGCTCGATTGTGAAGGAGTATAATTATCGAGGCTGACTGGCCATGGACAGATTCTGGAAGATCCAATTCAATACCTGTCATCCATCCACAAATTGCCGCAGTCTCTAGGCGACAAGCCACTTCCCGACACGACCTTTTTACTTCCGCTGTCTGCCTCAACCTCTGAGGCTCTGGATGCCCGGGTAGTCGACTTGGGCCACTACATCCAGAATGCCAACGAGATAGACTTTGTCAGTCTGGCACATACTCTGGCGAACCGCCGTTCCAAGCTCTCTCGGCGAGGATACATTCTTGCCAGTTCGGCAACAGCCAAGACCGATCTCACCGTGGGGAATCTGGTCTCAACTGCTCTCCCGGGCCGTGACCTCGTCTTCGTTTTCACAGGCCAGGGTGCTCAGTGGGCCGAGATGGGTCGCCAGCTGCTGGAGAAGAGTTACGTCTACCGCAAGACCATTGAAGAGTTCGATAATGTGCTCCAAAGTCTGCCCGAGGCGCCTGAGTGGTCGATCAGGGATGCGCTCCTGGAATCTGCGCCTCACAGTCGGGTGGGCGATGCGAGATTTTCCCAACCGTTGTGTACTGCCGTCCAGATCGGACTCGTCAAGCTGTTGGCCTCGTGGGGAATCCACCCTCAGATGGTCGCTGGCCACTCGTCGGGCGAGATTGCGGCTGCATTTGCCGCGGGCTTGCTGAGTGAGGCCCAGGCTATCATGGTTGCCTATTATCGAGGTTATGTGGTCGGACAGCTGCGGTCTCAGGGCTCCATGATGGCGTTCGGGGGCAGTGTTGAAGATGCCCAGCAGTTGATTCAGAAGCTATCGCTGCAAGAAGAAGTAGTTGTTGCCTGTGTCAACTCGCCTGAGAGTGTAACGCTTTCGGGCAGCGTCTCCGGCATCGATTCCCTTTTACAGGCTGCCTCGCAGATGGGAAAGTTCGCTCGGAAGTTACAGACTGGTGGCAAGGCCTACCATTCGTACATGATGCAGGAGGTTGGGGAACAATACAGTCGCCTCATTGAGGCCGCCTGGCCAGCCCTTCCGGCCAACGCCAGTGAGCGCGAGGTGCGATTCTTCTCCAGTGTGGGCATTGATGGCCCCAATTGGTACAGCAGCAAAACCAGCAAGACCCTGCCGCTGAGCTACTGGCGCCAGAACCTTGAAAGTCCCGTTCAGTTCACAGCTGCCATCACCCGCATCCTGGAGGAGAAGGGAAAGTCTCATCTGATCGAGATTGGGCCGCACTCCGCCCTGCAGTTGCCCATCAAGCAGATCCGCAACTTCCTGGCCCAGTCCGTGGATGATGTCCCATATAGTGCGACCCTGGTCCGTGACAAAGATGCCATCTCTTGTCTGCGAGTCCTTGCGGGGGAGCTGTATCTCCGCGGACACGATCTGGACATCATGGCTGTCAATGACGCTGCACCTGCCACCGCCAGAGTTATCCCAGATCTTCCCCGGTACCACTGGAGCTATACACAGCTACTGTGGCGGGAGTCCAGACTCAGTAGCGATCTTCGTAACCGACAGCATCCGCGTCATGAGTTGTTGGGATCGGAGATGGCTGCGCTGAACGGGATTGACCGGGTGTGGAAGAATACAGTGAGGCTATCCGAGGTGCCCTGGCTGGAGGACCACAAGCTGGAAAGTCAGGTTGTCTTTCCGGCCGCGGGCTATATCGCCATGGCAATCGAAGCGCTGTCTCAGATTACCGGGGCTGTGGTACCGAGTCCCTCCTTTTCATTGCGCAATGTCAACATCGCGACTGCGTTGGTCATATACGCCGACGAACAGCAACAGGCCGGTCTCTATACTACCGTCTCCCCGGCTCGCATCTCCAAGGCGGCTGCCTCCAGCAACTGGTATGAATTTAGCATCTCGTCCCGCCAGGAGCAAAGCACGGTGTTGCATTGCACTGGCCGCATCAGGCTGGGAACTGATGCCCCTGCGCCTACGGTTACAGTTAACACCGTTGACTATGAGGAATGGACGATGGGGTCCTGGTATGCTAAACTGGCCGAGGAAGGGCTCGCATTCGGGCCCGCCTTTCAGTCCTTGACATCTATGAAGACGGATAAGAGGCGAGTCAACCCAGCTGCGGTGTCCAAAACCGCCATTCTGCAGCGCAGGGGTCGATCGTCGGGCTATCCTGGTGACTATTATACCGTTCATCCCCTCACTATTGATGCCTGTTTGCAGGCCGCTATCATGGGTGGCACAGCGGGAAATCTCGGACAGCTTCGTGCCCACCTACCTGTATTCCTCGACCATTGCGAGATCAGCACCCCAGTCAGCGAGAGTGTGAACTCGACCGGATTGATCCATACCGAGTCCCAGAGCACTGGCTTTGGTACGAAGACTATTGACGCCACATTGAACGATGACTCCGGCTCTGCGGTGATCAATCTGCGGGGAGTTCGCTTATCCCTGTACATGGGACGCCCCGAGCTTGAGCACTCTTCCTCCCTAGCTCGTCACCCCTGTTTGCGTGTCGTATGGAAACCTGATCTGTTGCGGGTGACCGCAGACGACGAAATTCCATTCCGAAACTACATCACCCACTTCCTCCACAGCCACCCTGATTTGGCGGACAACACCAAGGTTGGCGTGGTGGCCGCCCTGCTAGATCTCGCTGCGCACAAGAACCCACGCCTACGCGTGTTGGAGCTTGGCAATGGATGCGACTGCAAGACACGCGAGTGGCAGGATATCCTCGACCAAAAGACGGATTTTCCCCGGATTCGAGAGTGGAGGACGGCGGACGGCGGGGAGGTCGATGGGAAGTACGACGTGGTTCTGCTCCCTCACGACGCCGGAGGCCGATCTATGGCCCAGGTCAACCACTTGCTCAGCCTAGTGGAGAGTAATGGCATACTTGTGGCGCGAACAGGGTCTCTCACATCAGCTCAGCTGAGGGGCCGTGATTATACAGTGTTAAACCTGCAATTCGGCATCACTCTCGTCGTTCCTTCTCAGCCGCTGCGCACATCTCACAACCGGTTGGTTCTGCTGCATCAGCACGCTTTGAAGATCGCCGATGTCTTCAAACAATTCTTTGGGTCTGAGAACCTGGTTGTTGCCTCCCTGGATGACGTGACGGTGGAGATGATGTCGCGGGCAACGGTCATCTCTCTACTCGAGCTGGAGACCCCGTTTCTGCCCACCATGACCCCGGAGCAGATGACCAAATTCAAGATTGTGACGGATAATGCCCATGAGATCATTTGGCTGACCGGAACTGCTACCATGACGGGCGAGGCACCAGATCTCTCTCTGTCTGGTGGTCTCTCACGAGCGCTCATGCTGGAACAGCCGGCACTTCGCTTTGTGACCTTCGATGTAGGTCGGTTAACGGATCATGCAAGCCGTCTGGATGTCTGCGGCAAGGTCCAGAACATTCTTCGCACCGACGAGCTGGCGGAGGACAAGGAATTTGTCTGGCACAACGGCCTCGTGCATGTGAGTCGATTCGTGCCTGAAACCACACTCAACGATCTCTTCCGGAAGAGGGAATCAGCCGAGATCGACACCATGACGCTTGAAGAGGCATCCCCGGCTCGTCTGGCAATTGAGCGCGTGGGAATCACGGACTCGATCTACTTCCAGCGACTGGCGGACAGCCCCACGGTGATACCGGCGGGCCAGGTCGAAATCGAGGTCAAGGCTGTCAGCTTGAACGCCAAAGACATCTACACTCTCTCTGGCAAGGTGGAGACTCGCAAAGGCACCGCAGCCATTGAGTTCAGTGGCATTGTTCGCAATGTGGCCTCGGATGTCACTCATCTTGCGGCAGGCGATCGTGTCGTCGTACTCGCACCCAACACCTTTAGTACGGTAGAACGCGTGCCGGCATGGGCATGTCAAAAGATGCTTCCCCAGGAGAGCTTTGATGTGATGCCCACACTACCTGTTATCTACGGGACCGCCCTATATGCTCTTGACGACCGCGCCCATCTTCGTGCGGGTGAGAGCATCCTGGTGCACTCCGGCGCCGGTGCCTTCGGAGCCGCTACCATTGCGGTTGCCATGCAACGCGGCGCCACGGTATATGCCACCGTCAGTACTGAAGAGAAGAAGGATTACCTTGTCTCCGAACTGGGGGTACCCCGGGAGAACATTTTCAACTCGCGCGATGATTCATTCGTGGCCGGGGTGCTGAAGGCCACTGGCGGACGCGGCGTGGACGTGATTGTCAACTCCCTGACTGGGGACCTCCTTCACGCCACCTGGCAATGCTGTGCCAACTTTGGTCGTTTCGTCGAGGTAGGGAAGCGCGATATTATTGATGCTGGGAACCTCGACATGCGCATGTTCCTACGCAATGCCACCTTTACCGCATTCGACTTGACCGAACTCTTCTATCACCAAGATGAGCACTACCGGAACATTTGGACTACGTAAGTTTGCTTTTCTTGCTGCTTGGATTTCCCTATAGCTCCGAGTGTTTCGTCTCCTGGGTTGCTGACCATCCGAACCAACCATAGCAAATTTGCGGAAGCGTTGGAGCTCTATCGCTGCGGCGCGGTCAAGCCTGTTCCCATCACCACCTTCGACGTCAGCGAGATCAGCCAGGCATACCGCTTCTTTTCGACCAAAGGGCGCATCGGCAAGGTCGTGGTCTCCTTACAGAATCCCTCCAGTGTGATCCGTGTGGCTCATGCCCGTCACCTCACCACCTTCGACGCGAACAAATCGTATCTGCTCGTGGGTTGCCTGGGTGGTTTGGGCCGGAGCCTCAGTCGGTGGATGTTCGAGCGCGGCGCTCGTCATTTCACTTTTCTGGGCCGGTCTGGATGTGATAAGCCGGCCGCACGCGATCTCGTTGCTGGCCTGGAGGCAGCCGGGGCAACTGTTCAAGTCGTGTGGGGTGATATCATCAACGCTGAGGACGTGCAGGCGGCGGTCGAGGCGTGCATTCGACCCATCGGGGGAGTCATTCAGGCGGCGATGGGGCTGAGCGAGGCGCTCTTTTCGACCATGACTCCCAAGGCCTGGCACACGGGCATCCAGCCCAAATGGCAGGGAACCTGGAACCTCCATCATGCTCTGGAGGCCCACGGCGACGCTGCGCTGGACTTCTTCCTTCTCACCTCATCCGTGTCGGGTAGTGTGGGCACCGCCACCGAGTCCAACTATTGCTCTGCCAACGGCTTCCTGGATGCCTTCGCCCGCTACAGGCGCGGCCTCGGCAAGCCCATCGTCTCCGTTGGTCTGGGCATGATCTCCGAGGTTGGTTATTTGCATGAGAACCCAGAGATCGAGGCCCTCTTGTTGCGCAAGGGCATTCAGCCCCTCAATGAAGCCGAGCTCATCCAGGTCATCGATCTTGCCCTAGCCCACACAGCAGCCACCGGGCTAACCTCGAAGGCGCCGGGTCTGGACTACGACCCCTTGGCGGCTTCCCACATTCTCACTGGCCTTGAACCGCACGGAATTCGTCAACTGCTCGACCGCGGCTTCGATGTCAACAACGGGACGATGCAGGATCCCCGCGCTGTTCTTCTATCTGCCTCCCTGGATGCCCCCTCCGCCTCGACGTCCGCCAATGCAGCCTCTGTCAGCACCGTCTCAGTGTCCGCCCTCCCCTGGGCTGCTGGCATTCCTGCAGGGGTCTTCAAGACCATGGCGACCACTCCCGAGATGGCCACTGCGGCGACTCTGAATGCCGCCATTCTCCTCCTGGTCCGCAAGCGTTTTTCCAATCTGCTGCTGATGGATCTGGATAAGATTGTCCCAGATAAGCCCATCACTTCGTATGGAATGGACAGCATGATCGCCTCCGAGTTCCGCTCCTGGTTCTACAGTGTGTTCAAGGTAGATATTCCATTCCTGGAGGTGCTGAATGATACCTCATCCTTGCAGAGCTTGTCCAACGCGGTGGAGAGCAAGCTGGTGGTTTGATTGGGATGTGTTTGTGTTTTCGTTCGTCATTCTGTAGGTCTGTAGCTGTGAGAATGTCAGATAAAATCTAAAATTGCTTGCAATATCTTCACTTGTCCACAACCCTGCAGCGAGACTACTGCTGACTAGGTGTTCATCTTCGACTAAAAGGTTCGTTCTCGTATCTTCTACCATGGGCTTGGGAGGCCAAATGTGCGGCTGGGACTAATGGTCGGTCGAAACAGCTTTATCGGCCACTGACACGCTATCCCCAGCGAGAGCATGAGCATACTTGATGAAATCAAGAGCATCACAGTTGAAGATGCGGAGGTGATGCACTAAAGCTCTTGGATCTCATGACTTGCTCGGTTTCATGTTACAGTTGTAAAGGACCTGTAATGTATATCCCATGTACCTTCACATCATCCTCAGTCGATCTACTATGTGTATGTTGGGTGACATGGAGTTACTGTACCCGGCCTTACTTATCAGTGTCTCGAAAAACTCTGGGACACACCTGTGTATTACGGCTCATGCTTTTATTGTGAACATGCCCAGTCGTAACATACTTAGCTTGGAATTGGCCAAGATCCGACTTTGGCAGAATTGCCAAGATGACTCAGGAAAGCCCACCTGCGCTATGAGCAAGATGATGGTTGGAGTTGAAGTGCATACTCGAGCACCAGCTTTTGCCCCTGCGGAGAAAGTGTGCCCCAGACTGTTACCACTGCTTATCAGTAGTCGGCCAGGAATCGATCCAACTCTTTTTAGGGCTTTCCAGGATGACCACCGTAAGTTGTGGGCTAAGTGGGGTTTCTGACCATCAGCCTGTGTACCTGCATGCAGGTTGTGTCAGAAATGACCAAATAAAAGAACTCGAGCTGATCTCCACCCGCAGTAAGGTGGTTTTACTGCACACCCGCCCATCATGTACACTTACAGTGTCATCGCTCTCACGCTGGTGAGCTATGTCCTCTGTCAAGGCATTTACAACCGCTACTTCCATCCACTCCGCGCATTTCCCGGTCCTTTCTGGGCCTCGGTGTCCGACTTCTTCAAACTCTGGATTCTGCACACCAAGCAGGCCCACACTCTGGGTCTGGAATACCATCAAAAGTATGGGAGCATTGTACGCGCTGCCCCGAACCTCTTGGCAGTTGATGATCCGATGCTCCTACCGCTCATCTACCATCGGCGAGTAGACAAGACCGATGTCTATACCGTAGGCGTGCTCGGTGAAATAGCTCCACCTTCTCAAACTCTCAAACACGAAGAGCATGCCATCAAGCGCAAGAGGGTTGCCGCCTCTTTCACCTTGACCAACCTGAAGCATCTCGAAGGGCAGGTCGATGAGCGCATCGTGCAGTGGACTCATATTTTGACGCAGCGGTTTGTGGAGACGGGCGAAGAACTGGACTTTGCTGCCTGGTCCCAGTAGGTTTCATGCCCATCACATCCCAATCATTTACTCATCTCTCTCTCTGTGTGTAACAGATGGTTTGCGTATGACATGATTTGCCAACTCTCCTTTGGCGAGCCCATCGGATTCGTTAGCCAGGGGCGCGACGTGGAGAACTTGATCGCGAATTTCCATCAGATGGCCCCGTTTGCCGCGGTTGTGGGAGCATTGCCCTGGCTCGCACGCCCATTCCTGGAGAATCCCATCACGAGAAGGTTTTTCATGCCTAAGCCGGGTGATGGGTCGGGGACGGGGAAAATCATGGCTGTACGTAAAGCACACCTTTGGTGGAAACATGATGAAGGCTCATCCATCCGGTGTCTCTAGTTTCGTGATCGGCTGCTGGCAGATCGACTGAATAACCCTCAGGCCCACAAGCAAGGGGACTTCCTGGACAATATTCTGAGCGCAACCAACCCGGATGGGACCCCGATCACGCTCGAGGAGGTCAAGACCGAGTGTTTCGTGCTCATGGTCGCAGCCTCAGACACCACCGCCGCTTTCTTCTGTGGCTTTGTGCGTTATGTCCTTGAGACGCCTGGGGTATATGAGCGACTGGTGGCGGAGATCGACGAGTACGACCAGCGCGGCGACCTCACCTCCCCGGTGCCACGATACGACGAGATCAAAGATATGCCCTACTTCACAGCCTGCTACAAGGAGACCATGCGCTATCAGCCGTCGACCCCGATGATCATTCCGCGCTACGTGTCTCCGGGGGGTCTCACGCTGCACAACCAGCATATCCCCGCCGGGACGGAGATTGGAGCCAACCCGTATGTGGTGCACCGGAATCGCCGCGTCTTTGGGGAGGACGCTGATGTCTTCCGTCCGGACCGCTGGCTGGTGGCCGATCCGGACCATATCGCCCTGATGGACAAGTGTATTCTGACCTGGGGATACGGGACGCGCATTTGCCTAGGGAAGAACATCGCCCTGCTGGAGACGTATAAGCTGCTTGTCCAGGTATTTGCATCTCATCTCCTCGTGTTCTGTTTCTTGTCTACCGCCTCGTAGTGGGGTTCTCGTCCGGCTTTTTCACCTAACAGGACTAATCATGGCTCCTTGGCAATCTAGTTCTTCCGCCTGTTCAGACCCCAGATCAATAATGGGGCACGACCCATCTGGAAGCAGGAAAACCTGGCGTTGTTGGTTCATCACAATTTCTGGATCAAGATTGCGAGCAGAAAGCATTAGTTAGCATTAGTAGATGATGATGACACTCTTCCCAGTGAGAGGTTGCCTGAGTTAATGCCCAAGGCAGTTGCAGTTGCTAGTCGGGCGGGGGCATTCACCGCCTGCCATGCCAGGCTCTTCCGACCGGTCTGCCGGATTCCGCAAACGGACATCCGCCCCTCCTGTCCCGGGCCCTTTTCACCTGTCCACGATCTGCCTTGTTTTGGCATTGAAAGCACAGGATGGCTTCTGAAGCCGCAGTGACTCTTTCCTCATAATATCATTAGTTTATTTCGTACTCAAAATAGCTATCCTTCCGGCTATAAGCTTTTCTTAACGCTTGCCAGTTTTGTGTTATACTAGTTAGTACTCGATGACCACGGGACCGTCCCGAGATATATAACTCGTGCAGGTGCGACCGCCCAAGGTACGGTGAGGTAGATACTGCCTGCCAGATTCGCGCTTCCGGTAGGCGGTCACGTTGGCCTCGGGGAGGTGCAACTATCCCAAACCTACAGTCACGTGGTGTCTCCAGAGCAAGGAAGAGTTCTTCAATGCTGAACAGGTCAAGCAGCATCATGGATGTGAGTCGAATGGTCTGACCGTCAGATAGACTGTCCTCCGTCAGGTGGAACGGCACCTTCGGTTCCCATCTCGGTTCCATCGGGGGAACTGCTTAAATCCGAGCCAGCCAATCATCGTCGGGAACGGCACCGTCGGTTTGGGACTCGGACTCCACCGACTCATGCAGGAGACCAGGAGATAACCTGGTCAGTTACCGTGGACACCACCAAGTGGCATCCTACCATACCGTGGCCTCGTTATCCATGACCTATCCATGCACATTTCATCAGAGGACCAGAGACCGACTCTTGGTTTGGACCGCGCTGGGGGGCAGAGGAGCTATATAATGGGTGAACTGCGCACACCTACCTGCTTTTCCTCTGTCACGGCATCTCCTCCCCTCAAGATTCCATCCTCAGTCGGATCACCATGGTGTTCTACAATACTTATCCGGGCTTCCTGTATCGCCAGTTTCTAGTCTGCCCCTCTAAGGCTCCGTCTTTTACCTCCCTTCGCGGCAAAGCCGGCATTGTCACCGGGTCCAACACTGGACTGGGCTATCAAGCCTCGGCGCAATTGCTGGGCCTGGGGCTATCGCATCTGATCCTAGCGGTCCGCAGCAGTTCCAAGGGCGAGGCAGCCCGAAAATCTCTCCTCGCATCGCTGCCGGCTTCTGCCAAAGCTCCCGTGGTCGAGGTGTGGGAACTGGATCTCGGCAGCTATGCCAGTGTGCTCGCCTTTGTCGAGCGCCTCAAGCAGTCCGGGCTTCACATCGACTTTGCCCTTCTGAACGCGGGAGTGGCCAACTTCCACTTCACAGTCAACCAGGCCACCTCCCACGAGACGAGTATTCAGGTCAACTGGCTCAGTACTGCACTGTTGACCTTGCTTCTGCTTCCGGTCCTCGACGGCCAGGCCGCCCAGAATCTGAATCGCCCTCGTCCGGTCCTCTCCATCGTGGGCAGCGAAACCGCCGCATGGGCCAAATTCAAGGAGGCGCAGATTGCACGGAGTCAGCGACGGCCTCTGATCCAGGTCCTGGATGACCCCAAGCACTTCAACATGGGCGATCGCTACTATACCTCGAAGCTGCTCTACCAGCTCTTCTTTCTGGAGCTGTTCCAGCATCGATCCCCCGGCAAACGCTCCACGGGGGCCATTCTCAACCTGGTGAACCCCGGCTTTTGCTATGGCTCCGAACTCCATCGCACGGCGGAAGGGGCATTCGGCAAGGTTTTGGGGGGGATGAAGAGGGTGATCGGTCGATCGGTGTCGATGGGAGCCCGTACTCTGGTTCACTCTGCGGTGTTGGCTGGAGAGCCCTCCAATGGCCAGTACATGAGTGACAACAAGCCTGCTCCTTTTGCGGGCTACGGGGATAGCGACGCGGGAAGAATCACTCAGGACCAGGTCTGGGATGAGACGATCTCGGAGCTGAAGCAAGTTGTGGACGTGAATGCGCTATTGTCGCAGATTTGATTCGATTTTCCGTGAATTTCTTGCTGTGTTTGCCCGTGCTTGGTTGATTTTTTTCTTTTCTTTTCTTTCTTTTTCTTTGGTATTGGGGTTTCTTTTACCTAATTGTTCAACTGCCGATAATGCCAGATGGAAGCTGCTCAGTGTCAATGTTGTAGTAAGTGATTTGAGGATGAATAAGTATACCTATAGTACTGTGGTAAAGTTGATGAACTTTACTGGGAGAAATAGTCGGGGGCTGACTCATCCTCATCCCAGTATTTAGTAATTAAACCCAGATGACCGTACATTACCGTACATTACTGTAGATCACTGTGGTTAACGTATGTTCTCTCCTCCTCCTCTCCTCTCCCCTCTTCTTTCCCATGGATCTCACTCAACCCCCCCCCCCCCAGCACCACCGCCACCCACAACAATGACCTCCAACTCCCACCCCTCCGACCACAACCACAATCCCTCCTCCCCCCCCCCCCCCCCCCCCCCCCCCCCCTCAACTCCAACCCTAATCTTTAGCTGTCAACTTTTCAACTGCGGTCTTTATTGTCATTCACCCCCATGATGGGCGCAGAAGTCGAATCCCAGTCTCCAGAAGAGCCGACCACCCCCTCTCAACTCCTGAGTTATTTGCCCACCTACCGGGTGCTGGTCTGTTTACGATGCCGCTACGCCATTCAGCCCGGGGCCATTGCGCGTCATCTCAAGGAGATCCATTATCTTTCTCGTGCAACGCGGCGCACCTTTGTCGCCTTTGCTGCGGAGTTCGAGCTGGCCCAGCCGCAGGATATAGTCTTGCCAGATGAAAGCCAGTTTCCAGTCCCCTTCCTCTCCATCCAGGAAGGGCTGGCGTGCCGCTTTGAGCGCTGTGGCTATCTTTGCGCCACCAGCAAACGCATGAAGCAACACTGGCGATGCACCCACCAGATTCCCACCTCGAATGAGAGCACCCTCTCGACCCCAGTCCCCTTACAGACCTTTTTTCGGGGAAATGCCCTGCGATACTTCACCAATCCGTCCTTGTTAGTGGCCTCCCCAGCTTCTCCCTCGGAATATAGCGTCGACGAAGTCAGCAATGATGGTCGATCGAGTACGGTCGGTTTTCAACCCTTCCAATTCTTCCATCTTCAATCTTGTCTACCAATGCTGATGGTTACTTCCTGCGCCTGTAGACCGGTACTACCCCGGCGACCAGTACAACACACTTGGATAGTCGGCTTCTACCATTGGACCAGTATTCGTTGGGGCTCGTAACCAACCAAGGTCTTCTCGACCACTATCGGCATTCGACCTACAAGTCCCTCTCCAATAGCCCCGAGACCGACCACGCATTTGGCGAGGTCGTTCTGGGTCTGACCCCCCGATTTGAGTTCCTGAGGCAGGGGGTCATGGCGTGTGCCGCCTTGCACCTGGCCTCCATCGACCCGGCTAATCGCACGTATTATGTCTTCCAATCCCTCCGGCACCAAGACCAAGCCATTCCCGCTTTTCGTCAGGCCATCCTGCACGTCGATCGCGACAACTGCGAGGCAGTCCTGGCCTTTGCGTTTTTTCTCGTCGTTTGCTCCCTCAACTCCGACACCGAGGACCCGCGCCTGTTCCTGAGCGATGACCCCGACCAACATCTGCACTGGATCAACATCCTCCGCAATGGCTGCTCTATGCTCTGCCCGTTTTGGGACGCGCTCACGGCGGGGCCCCTCGCGCCCTTCGCCACCCTGTGGGAGGATGACCTTGGCGTCGGCGGTCCGTCCGCCGATGGCCCCGAAGACCCGCTGCTGGGGACCTTGCTCGCCATGGTGGTCGCGGACCACCCTGCCCCCGAGCTTGCGGAGGAGCACGACGCCTACCGGGCCGCCGCGGTCCAGCTTGCCGCCGCCGGGGCTTTTCTCCGGCGCCGGGGCCCCGCCGCCTCCGTCTGGGATGCCCTCAATGCGTGGCCGATGCGCGTGGCTCCCGCCTACCTGACGCTACTCAAGCAGGATCGCCCCGGCGCGCTCCTGCTCTTGGCATACTACGCGATTCTGCTGCGCCCCACTCGCGGCGAATGGTTCCTCGCGGGCCGGGTGGAGAGGCTCATCGACGAAATTGCCCGTCGTTTGAAAGGCACGTCCTGCTCCGCCCAATTATGGGAGTGGTTTCTGGCGATCCGGAGGGAATACTTTCCGGAGGAAGCGCTGAGGTGCCAATGAGATGATCCACGGTAGTGACGGTATCACGAACTATGGACTGTAAGGTAATATTCCACCATGCCTCCCCAACCAAGCAGATGGTCGGGACGGGGTTCCGCGACTTCCAACGTTTCCACTACAGCTTACTTGATTATTTGTAAGCCGATAAGCTCTTGGGAAGGACTGTGTCAGAGTGCAAGGTATGAGTTGGTGCAGGAGGCACACGCGGCACCTGCGGCATATAAAGTACCTCGCCAATCAGATGCAAGGTGCGAATGCAAGTCCAACAGCCCCAAAATGTGCCTACTGGGTAGAATTCGAGTCCTTAGTGCTGACATCTTTGAGGAGTTTCTCCGCCCGAGCTTTCTGCAGGCCATCAGTGCTTAGTCGATGTCAGCACGTGCGGGGTATTGCAGGTTCATCTCCAATCAAATGGCTTCCTGGTGAAGAATGAACCAGTGGCTTCCTCTGCAGTAGAAAGGCTTCCCATTGGGATTGGGTGATCTAGCTTGAAGGAATTGAGGATTCCACGAGACATCCTGAGCTCTATGCTGGTCCTTTTTCGGCTCGTCCGACCATCATGCCCCATCTTGCTATCTCGCTCTCTCGCTCAGTCAATCACGATCTGACTCAGTACTCGGACCTAATGGAATCCGTCGAGTGAAGATTCCCAGGTGATTGTTCGATACTGCGGTACGTCCGGTCTAGATCTAAGGCAGCCAGCGACGCGGACGCGGACCATTTGGCGCGCCCCGATGAGCATGGCCAGCATTGTCACTGGGTGCTATGACTACTGGTGAGGCTCATCAGCTTACAGTGCGTATCGGGTCCAGCAACATGTCTGCAAGTAGCGCTCCTTCTCGCTTGTACTAGCTGGTTCAGAGAACAAATATGTGCTTGCTCTAGTGGAACGGCAGCAAGGGTTCTGCAAACGGGCTGGGACCATATGTCTCTGGTTCTCCTCATCATGCGGGTTTATATATAGATGAGAGGTACAATGCTTAGATCGACGGCGTGGTGCTTGCAATCCGATACTCACTCTGGAAATTCATCATATCCCTGATCATTGTGCCTGTCTGCCTATCTATCCTTGCCTTCTTGTTCCATAGCTGTAGCTTCCATGGCTTCGACATCGCCGGTGGAGGAAATGATTGACCAGGAGGACTGGAGTCACATCTCCGAACCGGCCTTGCGCAAACGCATCCAGAACCGCAATTCACAACGCAAGCTACGTAAGTCTCTTCTGCTACAGACGTAGCCCGGCTGCGATACCGACTAAACCTCCATGCAATGCCAGGGGCGAAGCGCAAATTGCAGAACCAGCCGATCTCATTTGACATCATGAGGTCCACGTCAGCTTCAGAGATAGACCTGGACTTTTCGGGAGCGCCTATGGCAGACGACTTCCTCTTAGACGGGTTCATTGACCCCCTCAACCCGCTGTCTCCCTCACTAGATCTTGACTTGATGACGCCACAGCTGGATGTCCACAGCTCTTCCACCCTCGACTTCAGTGCGCTAGATAACCCCTCCTGGCCCGAAGGCCCCGATCACGAATACTTGGCTGCTGGGTCGGGAAGGATCGACGAAGGAGCCTTGATACTGGACCCTGCTCTGGTCTCCGATGTCTCCACTCCTGGTCCCGGGGTAGACAAGAGTATTGTGGGAGCCTCCACTCAATCCAGCAATGACATCCACATCTATATCCACCATGACTGTCCAACTACCGTGCTTCCGGATACCGCCGATCAGCTGCCGCTGCCGCCGTCGCTCCCGCCCTCGCCGGCCCGTCGATCCCGCTGGAGCAGCCGCATTTTTCACATCCACAGTAACAACACCAACACCAACAACGCGGGCAGAGGTGAGAGCAGCTGTTCGGCCGCCCGGAAGAAACGCCGGGCCGCCCCGGCCCCACCACCGCCGGGGCCTACAGCTCATTTCCGGGGCATATGCCACAATTGCGGATCCCTGACGGGGCTGGGGACGAGGCCGGGGCAGCCCGACTGGCCCTATCCCAACAGCCACAGCCACAGTCACAGTCACGGGTCGGTACACATCGCTCAGGTGGCTCGGATTCTGTCCCACTCCCATCCAGCTCTGGCCGAGATGCTCATGCAGCCCAATGCTCACATTGAGTATGGATATCCCTGCTCTTCACCGTCATCATCATCATCATCATCTTCTTCTTTTTCTTCTTTCTCTGCGATTACACCACCCGCTTCCGACAGTCCACGGAAGGGTTCATTGGGCGGGGGTGCGAGGCAGAAAAAAGGAGACACGGAGGCGGAGGCGGAGGCGTCGGAGGCGGAGGCGTCGGAGGCGTCGGATGTCCGACCACTTCATATCGTCATTAATCTTTCCCCGAGTCCTGCTGTCTATTCCGCTTGATTAGTTGGTACCTGTTTTGGTCTGCTCATGTCCTGTCTTTCTTCATCTACTACTGAGGCTACGACTGATGCCCACCTTCGCATTTCTCTTCATGCTATTCAGAGTAGTGTATATTGGTACTTCATGTTTTGTCCACGCAAGTTCTTTTAATCATCGTGAAATCTTGAAATAGACAGCCCTTAGAACATGAACGATGATCACTCCTGTCAGATTTAGTCTCTATCTAGTGCTTATATCAGCCCCAGATCTAGTTTGATACACAGCAGTTCAGGCTTATTCGACTTTCTGACTCTGACTGCAGGCAGGCCCAGCCTGCAAGCTGACCGCGGCGAACCGTGCACCGAGTGCACCCCCAGTGCCAATCAGCAACGAGGTTGGCACCAGATATATTGACCCGCTGAAAGGCCATGGTCTGCCAGGAAAGCACGGAAACAACTCTCTGTCTACCGAGCACAGCATGGACATTACGGGATACGCCTTGATAACCGGGGCCGGCAGTGGCATTGGGCGAGCCTGCGCCTTGGCCTTTGCCCGCGAAGGCGCCGCGGGGGTGGCCTTTACCGACCTAAACTTTGAGGCTGCCCAGCAGGCCGCCGAGGAAAGTAGGGCTCTCGCCACTCACCCCACCTACCAAGCGGTGGTCATGCCACTCGATGTGACCAGCGAAACGCAGGTGGAAGCGGTGGTGACCCAGACCCAGCAATCCTTCGGGACCATTGACTACTTGGTCAACTCGGCGGGTGTATGTACTCCCTTCTTCTGTCTCTTATCTTAGGTCTCACTACCAGGTATCTCTTGAACAGACACAATGCTCCAATGCTCACCTATTTACATATATAGATTGGCGTCCAAGTGGCCGCGGAGATTGCGGAAGCATCCCTGACGGAATTCATTCGCTTCCTTGACGTCAACGTCACGGGCTCCTTTCTTCTCACCAAGTATGTCTCGCGCACGATGAAGGAGCAGGAAGCGCGCCTCGTCAGCGCTCGCAATGCTCAGCGGGGCTGCACGCGCGGAGTGATTCTCAACATGGCATCCTGTGCCTCCTTCGTGGCGACCCCCGCTTTAACGCAATACACCACGTCCAAGCATGCGGTGCTAGGACTGACCCGGAATGCTGGTAAGTCGTCAACGATAAAGAGGGTACAGTGAAGATGAGCTCGCGACGACGAAGCTGATCAACACGTCTTATGGGTCCCCCCAGCCCTAGATAACGCCAAGTACGCGATTCGCGTGAACTGCCTCTGTCCGTCGTGGGTCGACACCCCGATGGTTGACCGCGCTGTGAAAGACAATCCCGACCTCGCGGCGTTGATTGCCCAGTCTGTGCCCATGGGACGGATTGCACAGGTGGACGAGATCACCGACCTGATTCTGTTCCTATGCAGCCCGCGCGCCAGTTATGTCACGGGGAGCAGTTGGATTGTGGACGGAGGAACTACCCTCTGTAGCCATGTTTGATTTCCGACACCAGGAAAAGAGTGGGCAGTCATCGAACTCTTTCACGTGTGGTAGCACGACTGGAGTTGGGGTTGTCAGATAGGACTTCTGACAATGTCAGATAGAGGGGTCAGACATCAGGGTCCGTCAGATGCGTCAAGTAGTATCTATTCTTAACGCACGGTGTCTCAATATATAGCGGGACAAATGTTCCCTCCTCTTCGCATCAACAGCACATTGGGCTTTTATCCTCCATTCTAATTACACAACGGTCAATTTCCCTCCACAATGACGACCACTGCCGCTATTAACTTCATCTCGACCAATGGGTTCCCTGCTCCTGGTCTGCGCGCCACGCAGCGACTGATTACCGGCCACAGCGAGGAGGACGGCAAAGGCCACTTCCTTGTCACCGATCGTGGCGCCCACCACCGCATTATGGGTGAGAATCAAGCCGTAGCCAACATCCTGTACTCAACCCAGGAGAATCCAGTCGATCTCAACGACAGCAAAGATATCCAGTATGCTCGCGAGAATGAGGTTGGTTTACTTCTCTTCATCTTTCTCTTGCGGTTCCCTACCATCTTCCCTTCCCCTGAACTCTTGATAACACTTCCCACAGCCAGGTCTCCACATCCCCAACGGCACAGTGGCTCGGATGATCGATTTCGGCCCAGGCGTCGAATCCCCAATGCACCGCGCCCTGTCCATTGACTACGGGATCGTGCTAGAAGGAGAGTTCGAGCTCACTCTGGACTCCGGCGAGACACGGATTATGAAGCGCGGGGATGTGAGCGTCCAGCGGGCGACCGCCCACAAGTGGAAGAACATCACGGGTGGGGAGACGGAGCCCGGCCGGATGCTCTACATCCTGCTGGATTGCAAGGAGGTCAGGGTCCAGGGCAAGCCATTGGAGGGATTTCTGGGCGAATTGGAGAAGGAATACGAAGGACGGAGTGCGTAGAGGGGTTGGCTCTGACTAGGATCGATAATTTGGGTCGTTTCGTGCATCCTGGCTGTATACTGTTGTCAAAGCAGTAGGGTTCAAGATATGCGTGGTATTTCATCCATCTCAGTGCCTTAGATTGACAATAGAATGACAAGGAATACAATCACGCCCTGGATCTAGCACAGTGCTCAAGAGTCACAACTGTATGGGTGGTAGTAGCCATTTGAAGGTTATCTCACGCAACCAAGGAAAGCCTCCTCGTTATGTTCCTGTTAGATATGATCTGGGACACTGTACCAGAAGATCCGAGAAGAAATCAACTCGAGCATAATGGCGACCGAGCACTTTGTATGCAGAGTAGTCATCTTTAGTCCTACCAGACCGCAATAAAGCACATTTTGATACTACTCGCACTTTTACATAACATCTGAGTTGATTATCAAAAACAATGAACCACGTAAATAGTAGTAGGCAAGAATGAACACTCTCTGACTTGGGGATCTGCTTGATTATGAATGTCTGGGTGGGCGAACAAGATCAGAAGCCCGTGAGCCTAACTGGGACTGTCCTTGACCAAGGACTGGTCAATCCATATCCTGGCTGGCCACCACCTGGGCAATGCGCACTTCGACCCAGAGCTTATCTCTCTCTAATTTAAACCGGCCATTGCCCACCCAGTTGCTATTCTCAAGTGCCTTGATTCGAGGCGAGCCCACCTCGAAAGTCATGTTCATTGCTGCAAGCACTTTATTAGATACTGTCTCCAGGGAAAAGAGGGCAGTACTCTTCTAGGATGAGAGGTACTCACTTGACTGCCCAAAGGCAACCGTCTGCGGTTGGCCCTGGAATATGGCCGCCAAGTCCTCGGAGACAGTAGAGACGCCCGAATATTTGAACCTGATTCCCTGGTCCATGGTCAGTATGAGTTGTTCCGGTGGACGGCCCCAATGGAGGTGGAAGAGACAGGGATGAAATATTTACTTCATCTTCGGCGGTTCTTCATGCCAATGCATTAGTCACAGAGCACTTTCAAAGGTCCAGTGATTGGAGTTCCAAGCACACCTCGCTATTCCGTGGACATTCATCCGCGTGTGCTGCTGATCGGGATCGAAGTACAGCCAGTCTCCGGCCACAACTACCTGTGCGTTGATGCGGGGAGAAAATCCTTCGACTGTAGTGATCGTACCGCCCGGGGAAGACTGCATTACAGTTGAATTTATCAGAAGCTTGAAGTGCGCATGCTGAGATACATAGAGGTGGCTCACGTAGTGAATAAAGGTAGAGCCGGAGGAGGTGGGCCCTGTGCGCGCGATGCGTTCAGGTCAGTTCCCGTTGTCGGACACACGAGGGATATATTTTACACTTGCGTACCGACTGGCTGGCCCTGACCGACCTCAAACTATTCCTGCTTGTTGGTATCTGGTCGGATAACACCCACACTGTCGGGGCAAGTCATACCTTGAGAATATAGGCGGGGCGGAGGGTAGGAAAGCCTGCGGATTGAGACATGATTGATCGATGACTCTTAGAGACTTGAAGTGGTTTTCGACTTTGATTTGAGCTTCTGTCGTCCTGGTGGTTGAGGATCAATATAGGTTAGGCTTTCCCCGGCACGTGTGGGTGCGCAGATGGTGGGAACCCTATGTCTGACCGTCAGCCTTGCTGTCAGACTGTCAGACTGTCAGATCGTCAGCTTATCAGATTGTTAGCCTTTCAAGCTTCCATTGGGAACTAACTCAAACGGCCGACACTGATTAGATTCGAGGAAACAATTTTCAGCGGGGCCATTACCCTGTCAACGCTCGGCTGGATATTGGCAATCTCCCCGCAGGTACCCTCATTGGCACCCCATAGAATGCATACTCTCGACCTGCACCATACGCTTATCAGGGCTAGACTGAACTCCTACCATGCTTTTGGAATGACTATCTTAACAAAGTATAGCATTAAGGCTGGTCCACCACAAATTACTAGTTGCGAGAGCCGAATAGAAGTCAATTGTACGAGCATATCCATTGATTAAGACGCAGAACACTTGCAAACACCAATCAGGTGCCTACAATAGATCACTATCTACTCTCAACAGTCTATTCTACCGACCAGGGCTCATCGCGAGTTCGCATAAACGGTGCCATGTCAACCGCGTCGCCTTTTTCCCTTCTCAACTCGGTAACGGTTCGTCCCTCACCCAGATACGCCCACATATTCTGCTCGCGATACTTGATATCGTAGTCCTCGAAGCGTGGGCTCTTCAGTGACTTGAGCATATGCAGCATACTTCCGGGCCACAGCTGGATGCGACCGTTGTATTTCATCCACGACTGGCACGACTCCGCCCAGACCGAGTGAGTGTCATGCCAGGTATCGACATGGCGGCGCCACTGAGTGGTCACGGCTTGTTTCGGGGTCAACGAGTGCAAGCCTTCGTTGCTGATCTTGACCGCACATTGCAGGGCGTATTCAACCTGAGCTTCGTGCTACATGAGGATTGTGTCATCAGCCATGGGTTTCGTTGGCAAACTGGTTTTCAGACACCTCCTACCGTGATCAAGACTGATCCCTGCGCCCAGTTCCCTGTGGGGCCACCAATGAAGAAGAAGTTGGGGAAGTTGGGCGTCGCCATACTGAGGTAGATGTTCGGGGACTGTGATTGTTCAGCATCTCACATTGCGCTCAGCCCGGTGGCAGGCCACTTACCTTGGCCCATTCGTCGCGCATGGTTTGGCCCTGAGAACCAACCACGGGACTGGTCATGTTAGACAGCCGTAATTATACAGGCGCAGAAGCGAGGATTCTCACAAGTGAGGTGCGAAGGCTACATCAAAGCCCGTAGCGCAAATGATGAGGTCAAATTCCCTCTCCTCATTGCCAGTCGTTTGAATCCCTTTCTCGGTGAATTGTTCAATCGGGTCCGTAACCACCCGGACATCTGCATGGTTGGTTAATGATGTGACCAAGAGTGATGTTTCCACATTGGTAGAGGTTATCTTACTGTCCATTGTCAGGCTTTCGAGAAAGCCATCGCCGGGCTGTTCCTGTCAGCATAATTATGTTCATCCGAGATGATACTTGAATCCAACCTACCGTGGGCCTGCGACACCCGGGCGAAAAGGTGGGTGTGAATAACTGGGCGATGTCCTCGCGAGCCGGCCCCACGCGGGACTGTATCATCTGTGTGATCATTTCAGTGGTCATGTCATGTAGGGGATGGTGACGGAGGAAGATGGGAAACCGCTCCTGCATAACTCCATCGACCGCTTTGCGATACTGGAGAAAACGAACAGGATCGGTGCGGAAGACCTCCTTCTCGGCCTCGGTGTAGAAGTGCTTGCCCGCGGGGGCGGGCATGGCGGATTTCTCGGGGTCATCAGGAAACAGACGCAGATCCTGCCAGGCAGCCGGAGGCACAATCCATTGTGTTGAACGCACAAACACGGACAGGGACTTGGCATCTGAGAGGGATAGGATGATGAGTGTTCATTCGCGTTGGTTCGGGGGTAGCTCATCAACCCGCATGTAGGGCACAGTACTGTACCTTTAACAATTTGAGGAATCAGTTGGATACCCGTTGAGCCAGTACCGATGACCGCAACACGTTTTCCTTTCCAGTCAATGGATGGGTCCCAATTAGCTGGGTGAGTGAGTATGCCACGATAAGTATCAATCCCCGGGATATCGGGCCCTGGTTTCCATGTTAGCCCCGAGGTCAGAAGGTCAGAAACATGAGATGGGATCCAAACATTTCCATTTGTTTAATGGACCCGAGCCATTGATCAACACATGGCATCGGTCCTGGAACCGGGTCCCATCTTTTTTCTTGAGGTCCAGTTGCCCTAGAAATAGAATCAGTATCGCTTACCGCTAATTACGAGTCAAATGAGCGAGACGAACATTCACCGTCTTCTTCAATCCAACGAGCCTGGGTAATTTCCGTTTGAAAGGAGATATGCTGATAGAGGCTATGCTTCTTGGCGAAATCCACCATGTATTTCTGGATTTCCTCTCCCCTGGGGTAGTACCCACTCCACTCGGAGTTGGGTTCAAAAGTGAAGGCGTACGAATGAGAAGGAACATCACAGCCCACCCCTGGGTATCTATCTCATGCTCCTTAGCACCAGCCTGCCGATGGCTTCTTGGTCGCACTTCCTGTGGTATGGAAATACCTGTTTTCAAACCATGTCCCTCCAACTTCAGTATTCCTGGCAAAGGTCAGGTCAGAGCGACTTCACATAGACACCTTCAACGACATACTTTTCATATACGGCTAGCTCATAATTTGATAGCATCTTCTGAGCCTTGTATGCCGTCATCAGGCCGGCTGCCCCGGCCCCCACGTGAACCACCCTAAGCCGGCGAGGCTCGGAGTGGGCCCTTTCAAGACGCGCGGTTGTAGAGATTGAGCCCATGCTGGCAAATAACAATGACGATGACGGTGATCAGATGTTGTTTGATGGATGACTCAAAGTGAGAAGACTATATATCTTCCGCACGGATTCGCCTGACACGAGGTTGATCTGACGTTCTGACACGACCACAGCCGCCTTTCTGACCTGACATGCATGAGCACGTGGCTGAAAGATCTCGTAAAATCGAATAAAATTTCACTTAGCTCGATCTCGGCGAACTCATGCCTTGGCAATGCAGGTACTGTTGCCTCGTGGGAGCTGGGATTAGCACGTGTAACCACGAGGCTGAGTGGCATGTTGTACATACCGTATCTGCGGATTCCATTATCTCGCCAAAATCCAACGTGTACTGTACTCTGCTCCTGGATATAAAAGCCAGCCTGTATTCCAGGTTTCAGGAGCGCAGAGCAAGCTTTTCCCACAGTGCAATATTCAATTCTCGAGACAATAGACCATTTTTACTGCGAAGATGAAATTCGCCACGATGGCTGCAGTTCGCCCAGCCCAAATGCTCGCTGCCCTGTCCATAGTTGCCGGAGCAGTTGCATCCAACATCACTGCTCTTTTGCCCCATCTTTCCTCGTCCAGCGAAGTGTTCTATCCCAACGATGCAGACTGGGGCGATATCATCCAGCGATGGACTGCCTGGGATGAGCCCACTTTCTCACTGGCTATCAAGCCCGGCTCAGTCGCCGATTTGCAGACGGTTGTATGTTCGCGGCTCAATCCTCAAGTCCAGTACCACTCGCTGACTGTGCCCATCCTGGCTACAGGTCAAATACGCCACCAGTCAGAATCTACCATTCTTGGCCAGCGGAGGTGGCCATGGATATAGCACCTCATTCGGGGCTCTTCAGCAGGGGCTTCAAATTGATATGGGATCGTTCGACAGTATCCAAATTGATGCTGAGAAGAGCACGATGACCATCGGTGGTTCCGTTAAGTTTTCACAAATTATGGAGCCTCTCTTCAATGCTGGAAAGGAAATTCGTGTGTATTCCCGGTATGTTAGAGATGATTAACATGGTTACTAACCAGTGGGCAATGCCAATAGAAACCGGATCCTGCCCCTGCGTGGGCATGGTAGGGGCAACTCTCGGTGGCGGAGTAGGGCGCTATCAGGGTCTGCACGGTCTGATCATCGACGCGCTGGAGTCCGTGGAACTTGTCACTGTGAAGGGCGATCTCATCACTGTGTCGGCTACGGAGAACGCAGACCTATTCTGGGGCCTGCGCGGCGCCGGCTTCAACTACGGCATCGTCACCTCGGCCACATATAAGGTGTATGATCTCACCAACAAGGGCAACGTACTCAATGCCGACTTCATGTTCCCTGCCGAGCTCAACGAGACCTACTTCGAGATTCTGGCTAGCTATGACACCCTCCCAGCGGCGTTGTCATTGTACACCTTGGTGATGAACGATGCTGCCGCAGGAGTAAGTCAAAGTCTCCCTCTTCTCTCCCAAAACCCCATAATCGAATTCTAACCCTATATCCTCTCTGGGGTGTGATAGCCCGTGATCCTTTTGAACGCCGTGTACCCTGGTCCCGAGCAAGAGGGTCTCGACCTCCTGGCCCCATTCCTCAAACTCACCTATCTCGAGCGCAACATCTCCATGATTACCTGGGATGCGGTCGACGCCGACGCCGGTTTTGGTCTTGCCACGGCCTTCTGCATCAACGGCGAGAAACATGACATGTGGTCCCTCGGCGTCCGCACCATCGACGCAGCCACCCACATCGCCTACTTCAACCAACTCGCACAATTCTGGTCGGATTACCCGGCCGCGTCTGGGAGCACTTGGCAGGTGGAATACTTCCCTGTCCAAGCTGTGACGGCCGTGGCCGATGCATCGACTGCCTATCCCCATCGAGAAATCCGTGCTCATGAGTATTTCCTCCCCCTCTTATCCTTGCGCACATCTGCAGATAACGGCAGACGCATGACTGACCCTGCATTTATGATTAGAATGTTCTCCTTCAACCTCACAGATTCTTCCATCGGAACATCTGTCGATGACTTTGCCCTTACAGCCCTAGAGACCTTCAACGCGACCAGCGGGTTCGACGATCTTCATATCTACGTCAGCTATGCGCACGGAACAGAGGGACTGGACCCTATGTATGGATCCGAGAAATTGTCGCGCTTGTTGGCGCTGAAGAAACAGTGGGATCCCCAGGGCTTCTTCAGCTACAACAACGGGTTGCCGCACTGAATGGTTCGCACGGCTATAACACACTACCCACATGTGCGAGAGGAATTTTGCGAGCAAGGATGAGGTTGTAGGATGCGATGTGCAGTAATTGAATGGGTAGTCTTTCGTCTTCTCCTGTCAATCACTGCAGCTTTCGACTGTGACCATAGCTTAATGCAATTTCTGCCTAACCCCATTAGAGCTGTAGCACTCGGTGAACAGTGGAGTCTAAACCGTATCAGCTTGGTCCAGGTGCTTGTGAATTCCACCAGCTTTCGTGCCAGTTGCGCCAGGTCAACTCGTTCTCGACTGCTCGCACAAAGTCCAAGGGCTGTGCCATGGTCCGCGCTGTCTCCTTCTCCGTGACCAGTCCAGACTGCGTGCTGGGTACAACCTGATGTTGAAGCTGGAAGGGAATCCCAAACGCGTAATCCAGTTCCTCATCTGTCTGAAGCGGCATGATGGAGGCAAGATTCTGGAGAGCCCCAAGCGGCGGTAGATCTGCAACGGTCGACAAACCGGCTTCCTTTTCGTTGGGTAACAGAAACAGCGGGTTGTCTGGCAGCATGTCCGAGGAGTTGATGGTAAAAGCAGGATTCTTCTGACCCGAGTGAAATGCCCGACAGACATCGTTAAGGGCACTCACGGCGTCGGCAATTGGGGCGAAGTCGGGGCGGATGGCAGCTGCTGCGACCATCATGTTCACCACCCTCTCGAGCGTGCAGAGGTCACTTTCGTACTCACTAGGTTGGGTGGAAGACAGGATGTGATAATACAGGGTGAAGAAGGCGCCAAAGGGATAGAATGTCAGAAAGCTTGTTGGGTTAGCGGTGAATGTCCATGCAGAAGAAAGGCCCGGGCTGCAAACTCACTGTGTCTGAAAGTCGTCCTGTTCCCCCCAGGGCGAGATTGGAGATTCCGACTTCTCTAGGATAATGCCGATGATGAGTCTGGCGGAACGAACTGCTTGTGGGTGCACAATCTGCTCGGCACTTGACACTTTCCGCCTCATGAAGATGATGAAAAGATGCAACGCAATGACCGTCTCGAGAACGAGCCAAGACTTTACCCAGCCCAAGTTAGGCGATCTAGCGAGTGATAAGAGGTCCCAGTCATTGACCAGTTCTTCTAGCTCCATGCAGCACGTATTCGCCGTGGTACTGAGATGGTCACTGGCCCTACTGGCCTCGAATTGAACGAAGAAGTTGGCCATGATGAAGAGGGTTCGGGCCCGGACCAAGAACAGAATGCAGTTATGGGGCTTGGGCTGCTTGGTTTGCGGTGATATCTCCGCTGGCAGTCGGACCTGGCCGACCGGACACCGCAGAGCCGTGGGCTTGTCGTACCAGGTTCTGAAGAGAAGGTCCATTTCCACCAGATACCAGTGCATTCGCCGCTTCACATCCTTTTCGATTTCCTCTTGTGCAGTGCCCAGCGGGAGTGAATCTACTTCGTGGATGCCTAGTCGGTCTCCGAAGCGACAAGCCTCGCGGTGGAACTGCCATGACAAATGGTAGTCAAAGTTGTTGATTCCCATCCATGCCTGCACCAAGTGTCAATTATCACTTGGGAGGAGTTGCACACACCCCACTTACCGTTAAGGACGCAGCGATGAGGTCTAGATGCGAGCCTTGGGCCGATGCCAACCACTTCGGAACGACTTGCAAGCCGCGATAGTAAGTTTTCGCCGCTGCCCTCTGTTCTGCACCTGTGCCAGCCGTTTGTCCGAAATATATCGCGTTGAAATAGAGAACCTGCATGACTGGCTCGATTATGGCATACGGTGACCCGATGACATGGGGCATGGATCGCAGGAACTCGGAGTCCACGAGGGTTGCAAAGGAGTCGAATATGCTGAGGTTGGGGAGAATGACTTCCAGGAATACTATCGCTTCGGTCAGTCTGGAAGGTGGTAGGAGTCACTTGGGAAACTGATTTTACCGTCTATGAAGCGCTTAAGATCGCTGACTGGCAAGTGGTTTCTCGGTTCGTCGGTGACATTGTGATCGGGTCTAGGGCTTGGGGCGGCCAGGTTAACCAGTGCCGTGTCCAGCCGGGTGATCGCGTTGTCTACAGTTGACCGCGTCCAGGATGATGACGCGTTGCTGGTGAGGTGTTCGATGTTGTCCTTGGCCCCGCTGACCATGCGATAGATCCATGCTGCTCTGATTAGCATGCAGCCTACCATAGGGAAGGCCAGGTTGTTCCATACTGCTACTGCGGGCCTCGGATGATTCGATAGGAATATCCCTCGACTCTGCTTCTGTCTGAACGTTGCTCAGGGTCGGGGGAGGTGTGGGGGGTGTGGTATCTGGATGTGGTGGTGCCTCTGTGCCTCTCAGACGCTCCTCGAGTGCCTCCAGACGATGGCCCAGGTGGTGGAGCTCGGAGCTTTGAGTAGTCCGAGCCTTTCTCCTCTGCGGATATGAGCATGAGAGGCCGCTATCTACGCATCTTTTACATTGGGGATCTCCTTTGTCGCATCGCAGCTAGATCCCATCAGCAAGCCTGATGAAGAGCATGGAGAAAAGAGGGGGGG